TACACACACACTCTCACACACACACACACACACACACACACACACACACACACACACACACAATGCAACTCTGGAATTTGCTACTGTCTCATATCCTCTTGTTGCACCAGCTACTAAGATGTCACTGCTGGTCAAGTTTTCTACCAGTTGACTAATGCTGCCTGAGGTTAAAACCAGAAATATCAAGTTACATGTATGTTATTCTCTTTTCTTTTACAGAATCGAGCTCTGAAAATAAAGTCAGGTAAGACATTTTTGTTTATACCATGCCATGTTTTGAGGCTTTTCTGAATGCATCAGTTGGACCTCTGTTGAACATATAACATCCAGAAGAAGGAAAATGATCCATAAGTGAATCTTTCTGAGCATTGCATCTGCTTTTCCAGTTCTACAATGCTAGTACTGACAGGCATACAAAGACAATAATCATATCACACTACTGTTGTAATATGAACAGATAGCTTTATGTTTGAATGCTTGTTTTTGACAGTAATTGCACAAACAAGTGAATGACCTTAATGACTACAACATCTTCTGTAACAATGCAGTACCATTACACATTTTCAAGCAATTGAAACAGCAGCCTTGAAACAAATCATGGACATTTTGGAGAGAAATACAGCGTTTTCCATAAATTCCAAACACTGCTACAAAATGACATGCTACCCTAGTACTTAGCGTACTACCATACTACTGATATTTCTAGTTCCTTTATGCAAAAGACAATCTGATGTCCTACTTCATTTGACAGAATGTGGAGTATTCATACAAAATACTGTTTATGATATATACTGCACACTATACAGTACAGTGTACTATAGTGTTCCATTCGGAGCATAGCCACTGACTTTGCAGTCAAATATTGTTTAACATTACTAAACCAACTATACATAAGTTATATCAATAAACCTATTTTTTATAAGTTAAATCAAGTAGCAATGGCTTTTTAAGGTTATAATTGCAGGTTAGCACTTTTCACAGTGTGGCTTGAGAAAAAGTTGAATGTATTGCGTTTGTCTTTCCAGCACCTCTTTGTGGTCTGTCAATTTAAGCAGTAGGAGGATGTCTGTTGCTGATGAAACCAGAGGAAAAGTTAACCTAGGATACCACGCTGAAGACGTAACAAGTAATAGCACCAAAATACATCTCCGAACAGAACACCCAGTGAAATGACATGTTATGCAAAAATATATGGGGAATTATGTCTACTTTATGTAATATATGTTTACAGAAATGAAACAAGAAAGCAAGTTTTCGGGATATCAAATATACAATACTAACCAAAAAGGTAGTTAAGTGTTTTTGTAAAATAAAAATAAAAACTTTGCCACAATAAGGCTGGCTTTTTGCACACTGAAAAAAAATGGGTTTAGAAACAGGTGCTAAAAAATTTTAATTAATGAAGTAGAATTTAATTTTGAAGTAGAAAGACTGAAATACAGAGTTTTGGCATGAAACTCTAGATGGCGCAGTCCGATAGGTCTAACTCAATCTGACCTAATTACATCATTATCACATGGCACAGCTGATTGGTTGTCTCCTGTATCGGTAGCCAATGAGCTTGCTGATTAACATTCAAATATATAAATAGTGCTCGCCGTAGCAGTTGCAGCTTGCTTCAGAAACCCTCCACCTTACCCAGCTCCACCTGTATAGATCTGCTACGGGGTGATTCATGTATGCTATATGGGGGTTATTTCATGTATGTTATATTTGCAGCAGCAGTATTTCTTACATGCTCACAGCAGCATGTTGTGGATGTATTGGCAGTTGCAAGTGTCAGTACTTGCTCTGCCGCAGCAGTGTAGCAGATCTATTCCGCCAAGACCAAATACATTAACATTGTCATGTACATTACCATGCCAATCCCTCTGAGAGTTGTCATGACAGAAATAGTGTTCTCTTGTAAAACATATATTGTAAAACATATAATCTTTGTTTGAATTACAAGTAAATGTATCTTGATGCAAGAATGTTTACATATTTGTACTAGAAAACATGACCAAAAACAGATATTTCTCTCTCTGAAACGTTGTTTAAAAAAAAAAAAAATATTATAAGTGAATATAAAAAAGGTACAAAGCTTACTATCTTAATTTTAAATATGAGAAACTAGACAAGCATACTGAATATGATTTTTGTATTTCAGTGCAGCATAAGAGCACACTGTGCAGTGTTATTTATGTCTGTAAGATGTAAAGTCACACACACAACTGCTCTTCACCCCTCAGGTTCAGGGCACCATGAGCTCAGGAACAGAGCAGACAGCACGATAAACATCATCAGCCCTCCGCGGGTAAGAGGAGAGAGAATTACAGCCTCTGCATTATTCAAAACTAGTGGTGGATTTCTGACACCTCAGTCTAAAGTCTTCTGTCTCACACCTGGGGAAAACACTGATCATCTCTCCATACTATTTGTGAAGGAAGATTCAGTCAAACAATTAAGTACTGTAAATGATGCACAATGATACTTTGATGTAATCATTTTTTTTCTGAAAGTGTCTTATACTTTCTGTAATCTTACTGTGATTACATACAATTACATAGTATTTTTAGATAATTCAGAAAAAAAATCACATTAATGCTAATTGTATGCTGGGTCATTTTCAGGAAACAACCTTGTAATTTTTAAGCATTTCATTTGAAACTGTTGAACTCTCAAGAAATCATATTTTCTTACCTCAGGCTGAAACTGCCAGGTTCATAATCATCATAGACACTAGGGGAACCACCATGCCAGGATGAAACATTTAAATGAATGCAAAATTGATCTATTGTTGTCAACAGGTTCCTGATATCATCATTTTCCGCTCTCAAAATCAGAAAGAGGAAGATTTTTCTAACTTGTACTACAAGGGAGGAAAGACAGTCCGTCGGGTCACCACTGTTTGACCTCAGGGTCAACCCCACATCAACCACCCACTGTAAGAAAGAGCCAGCTTTCTGTTCAGAGAGACGCCACAAATTCAGTCTGACCTTATTGTTACTCCAAAGAGGTCTTATATGCTGAAGATGAAGATGCGGTGGCTTGCATGTCAAGAGTATTGAGACATAATCATAATCACATGAGTCCTGCAGTCAACTGCATGCAATCATTCATGGTAATGGCTGCTGATAAATCAGCCACATCAACACTGCATATGCTCTTTTTTAGAAATAATTCAATTGGATGTGATTATTTTGTACCTTATTCAAATGAAAATATTTTTTGTTGATTGATACTTTACACAATTTTGTACATCAGTATATGCATCTTCATCAGTATAGAGGGCTGCAGTGATGATGTATTTTTGTGGGCCAAACCGGAAGTTGGCATTACCCTGGTTCCATCGACAAAAATCCAACTGTATTTTTCCAATGGCTTTTGGAATATTGCAGAAAATAAGCTCTGAGACCATCAAAAGTTTATAATTTCACGTTTTTCTCATCATGATAATTTTTTCAAATCTTCCCAACTTAAGCCTAAATACAATTAGCAGAAGTAAAATGATAAATATAGGCTATAAATAAATTATTTCAATCCTTATTTAATAAATACCTTAAAAGTTTGAGTTAGAATAGTTTGCAAGAGAATGATTATAAACACAATGTGCTGTGAACTAGTAAGTAGTAGCTTACCCTTTTCAGTGCAACATTTAAGCTTTTACTTTCTTGTAAAAGGCGGCTGCTAACAAGTTGCTAAATAGAACTACAGAGGATGTTGGGGACATTAAAGGGATAGTTCACCCAAAAATGAAAATTCTGTCATTGAGTATAAAAAAAAAAATAAAATAATAAAAAAAAAATAATATATATATATATATAATTATTTTCTCAGAGGGTTCAATTAAGGTAAGGTTCAAGTAATTTTTTCCTGCTGGCTGCTCGTCAGTCATGGATGGCAACTGATGAATAAATTAGGGTCACCCTCAGTAGGTCACACAAAGCTGTCGTGATATGAGAGGGTGATAACATAACCCTTTTGTTTTTGTTTGAGTCTCCAGACCAGTGTTATCTTTCCTAGACCTGCTTGTGTTACTGAGGTTTTCATTCACAAGTGGTGGCTTGATGTCAGGGTCAAGCAGACTGTTTCTCTGGGGTGATTTACAGAGGCCACTGTTTGTCTGTCAAAGACTTCTGCATCATTGCTTCTGAAGTCTGTTTCCCTTCTCTCTGCCACTTTCGTCTTGTTTTATTTCACGTGATTTCACAGAATTGTCTCTCTCGGTTCTGTGAAAATGTTGCAGTGCAATATTGTGCACTTTGGTATTTTTATACAAAATCTATCTATATCAGCTTTAATTACTGAAAACTTCCAGTTTTTCTCAATTGCTTTGGCACATTTTTCGAAACAGAGAGTATCCACTGAACGCAAACAGCGTATGTTGTTCTGTGTCAGCTGCGTCACACGGATACGTTGTTTTTGTTCAAATCAAAGCACAAACAACGTAGAAAACGTATCGCGCAGCTGACACAGAACACCATACGCTGTTTGCGTTCAGTGGATACTCTCCAAAAATATATGTTTTTTATATGTTTTTTATATTTTGTCATCCCTGCATCAATTTATTTTATTGTTATTTATTTAGGGTTGTGGAAGTCCTCCATTCTTAGTGATTGTGCTGTGGGCAATCTACATATATATGCTCCCAAACTTGATTGGTTAAATGGTTGAATGGTTGATTCAAATTGTATTGCAATTAGAGGTCATTTGCCAATTTAGCAGACATTACAAACAATGTCAATGTCAGATATTTATGGAATATACATGCGTGTATACCAATTTTTCATAATTGAATGGATCGTTTTGAATGTGATGGCTTACACGATGAAAAATGATTGAGAAGTTGTGAAGAGTTTGACAGTTTAAGTGAGAATCGGCTCATCAGTTTTGATCAACAAGCCATATGCAATTAGTTGTGCAAACTGCAGACAATTGTACTTACTGTTTGCACACATGTGCCAAAGCATTTGCTCAAATCAATAAGAAATTCCAATCTGATGTGAACAAGAAGCTAATTGTTCAGAGATCTGAACTTATTGTTTCGGGAAAAAAAAGTTTCATTCGAGAATTGAGCCAAAGCAATTGAGAAAAACTGTAATAGTTATATTAATATATTTAGGTTACATTTAATTTAATTAAATTTTAGCTAACAACAGTAACCCTTCTTAAAAAATTAAAACTACAGTTTTAAAATCTTCTAAACGTTCTATGATATGCAACTGCATTCAGTTATTCCATATACTAATGTGCAGTGAATGTTACAGTGTATCTCAGAAACACATTTCTGTTATATCTGGCACATATGAGACACAGGAACTGGCTGCAATCATGTAAATGAAAGTATCTAATCATGACCATAAATATTTATTCATACATATTAGAACCCAGCCACCACATAAAGGTCTTCGCCTCCAAACAATGATTCAGTCTTTATGTAATTGACCTCAGCTGAATGAAGCCTTTTGGAATCAGTCACGGTACTTTGAAACAATTGCAGCCTGCTTTACACAGTGCGATTCACTGCAACGCTGATGAATAACTTAACATGTCTTCTCTGTGATTGAAATGCAATCCTCTCCAGTACATCCTTAAACAGAGCATTTAAGTGCTTCCAAAGTCAGTTAGGTGCCACTGTATTAAGTGAATGGCTATTATAGGGAATTGGAGACAGGAGCCCTTGACATGGTGCTGTTAGCATAATTAAGGTCCACGTAATTAGCAGATTAATGGCTCTTAAAAATGGGTCAGGTAAGTAGGAAATGCAGAAAAGCTTTCCATTTGAGATCTAGTGTTTCTTTTATGTGCAAACTCAGAGCTCAGAGCATGGCCACCATGTGAATTCAGGCTAACAGCAGAACACTTGAAGCCTCAAAGTGAACAGCCCTGTCTGACTAAATACACTTCAAGTAACCCAGAGTTTCATCACAGAGAATGCGTACCGACAAAACCAAACCCACTTTGCTGAAGGACAAAAAAATCTTCCTTGAAGCTTGAGGTATCAAACTCAACACATTTGCTCCAATTACTCATGCAGGCTCCAATATGTACAGTCAGCATGTGACACATAAAAATAGGTTTTGGCAACTAAATAATGCAAAGTTTCTGACCGGCCGGCTGATGGTTTAAGGCAGCGGTGTCCAATCCTGCTTCTGGAAGGCTCTACAGAGTTCAGCTCCAGACTGCTCCAACACACTATTCATGAAGACCTTGATTAGCTGTGTTTAATTAGGATTTCAACTAAATCACAATAATTATGAGATTCTGACTTGTAAAAAGCGTATTTGTCACCATAAAACGCCTTCAGCAGTAAAAAGTTAAGAAGTTATATTTTTTGCTTAATAATGTATTATAATTTATTATTAAAGACTATTGTTAATGTCTTAAAGGTCACATATTTTACACCTTTCTGGAGTTTTATTTTAGGTGTTGGTGTCCTTGAGAATATATATTTGCAGTATAAGTACCAAAAACCATCTCAATATATTTTTACAGCTCAAAAACATTTACAATTTTTTACAAAGACATTTTTACTGCTTCTTTTGTTGTTATGGGCGCGTCTACAGGTTTCTTGCCATATGTCTATGTGTAATGTGGTGGTTGGGTTTTGTCATGCTCATGTTTTCATGTCTTTTATTTTGTAATTGTTTCACCCTGTTAATTTACTATACACGTTAGATGTGATCCACCTCATAGTAACAATCCTGTCAGATCGTCCATCCTTTGAGTGAGAGTGTAATGTTACAGGTCGGCCGATCTGGTTTCGTGGTTAAAGTTAACCTTTTCGACATGATTCCATGTTGTCGTTGCTCAGCAATAGTATGGATGCGATGTTGTCTGGGGGTTTGGCAAAAGGAGAGTGGGACGGTGGGCGGTGCTCGGGGTGGTGACTGAAGGCGGTGACTGTGTAGTTCTGACGTCAACTTTTTACGGAAGTCACAATGGTTCGTGAAAAATCACAGCTACTTTATGCAGGCTGTGTGCATTTTACTGTGGACTGACTGTTTTGAAACTTATATGGTAGTTAAATAGCACCTAGACCTCAGTTATCATGAAAAAAGCCAGGAAATTTCAGTTTTGACAATATGGGACCTTTAACAATAGTGACTATACACCATTTGAGTACTCAGAAAAGCGCTATATAAATGTAAGGAATTATCATTATTATGAATTAATAATGCAGATTATTGGAATAATAATCTGGAAGAAAAAACAAAACCGATCAATTGATCTCATCCCCCAGACTTTTGATTGGTATAGTGCATTCGGCTTCTTTGTTGCCCTGGAGAGTCAATGTTGCTGTAAATTGTTCTTAATTGAAAATCATTATTTCACGTTACAGCTGTGATGCACAAATATCTCTCATTACTAAGCTCTGTTGTTGGCCTCACATCTCATCTCTTGGGTGTCACTGGGATGTTACTAGAATATATACCTTCACAACAGCACAATAACTAACAATTATGCAGCAGTCAGCCAGAACATATGGTACAACAAAACTATTGAGTGGAATTGTCTCACCTTTGCTTTGCAAAATGCTTTGAAAAGGAGAAAAGAGTTTTCATGGAACATCAATTCAAATACAATCGCTTTGGGCAATAAGCAGCCATGAAAAAAATTATTTAATTGCTCAGCAATGATTTCACACCATTTCATATTTGTAATATGGGTTTGGGCATTTACAGCTTTCACAGAAATATAAAAATGTATAATATAATAGCAAAACTGACAAACATACACCCAAACTAAACCAGAGAGAAACAACTTTTCAGGGGAAAACAACTTTTTTGATAAAACCACGGTTTTTTATAAATTCTGTACTGTAGAAATACCATGGTATGTGAATGTGGTAATCATTCGGTAGCATGGCATATATCAAAGTACTATGGTATTACCATCCAGGGCACTACTTTTTATCTTTCTACCAATTTTACATCTTTCCACTACCACCAAAATATGTGAGGTCATCAAAAAAGTGACACTGATGATAGATCACCACTTAATTTCATTCAAAGCCCATTCTGATGACCGATCATTTAGCCCAGAAGCTTTGTCAGACTCCTTGCTTGTCCGAGGGTAGTTTAGCAGGGGCATTTCCATATGTGCCACTGCACCCCATCTGTCAGAGCTGGGCTCAGATGGCAAACACAGAGGCAGACGGCAGGCCAAACGCAGGCTGTCACTTCAGCAAATAAGTCTCTCAACTCTTTTAGACGTCCCCTGAAATTCCCTGTCCTGATAAATGGAACTGTGTTCGTTTTTGGCAGGCAGAGAGGCTGAAGTTGCAGCTACATAAAATTTAGCCGCGACAGCTTCTGCAATGTAATAGAAATTCGGAGAGATTGCACCTCTGATACATTTTTAGGTCTGTATAATGGTGTATAATGTCACTATTTATTGCACATGTCAGCAATTAAATGCCCACTGCATGTGTGACTGAAAGGAAAACTATTCTATCATAGCACAAATTTTATTTTAATAATTCAAACATAATTTTCTT